AAGGCCGACTGGGAGATAAAGTAATAATAACCATACTTGTCAGTTTTGAGATTGGATTTACTGGTGCTCTAAAACCCTGTGCTGAGTACTTCTACTACCCTGAAATCATCGCTTCTGCTGCTTCTTGCTCCAAGGCCTGAGGATGCCGGGGCCAGGAGATGTGTGTGGAAGGCGTGAGCGTGGCCGGGCAGGGCCTCACCTCCTGCTGCCCAGGAGCAGGATGGTGCCTTACCTGGTCACAAGGGCCTTGGGTGGCTCACCTGCCCCCTTTTGCTGTCCTCAGGGAGGGTGCGGTTTCCTCATGCTCTCCCACTGGCACCTGCCCTCTCTGGCCTCTTCGATGGTTCTGCTGCCTCCGATGGTGACTCTGGGCAGCGTTCTCGTTACCATCCAAGGGTTGGAATTTTTATGTTGTTGTTTTAGCTTTTTGATTAAAAAAAATTGAAGCATAATTCACCCATCATTGAATTCAAATTTTTTTTTCTTTTTTTCCGGTACCGGGGATTGAACTCACGACTGCCTGCTTGCAGGGCAGGTGCTTATGCCACTGAGCTAAATCCCCAGCCCCCTGAATTCAAATTTTAAAAGTGTACAATTTAACACCTTTATCCAGCACTGCGATTTGTGTGTCCCATGCTGTGGCTTTTTACTGGTTTTATTAGTAAAAGACTGATGCAAGTATGAGACTTGCTCATGCCGTCAGGGGTGCAAGACAGCAAGAACCTGGATCCCCCAAGGCTGAGATTCCACTTAGAATTCCTGAACATTTCTTATCCCGAAAGGAATCCTGCATCTGTCTGCAGTCGCCTTGCTGGCTCCGGTACCCACCAGTCCGTACTCCCTACACACAAATGCACCTGCCGCACTGCCTGTGGCCTTGTGTGTCCGAGTCCCTTCAGTAAGCATGTCCCTGCCTGTGTGGACGGGCGCATCTCCCTCTTTACGGCTGAATAACTTTCCATGGTGTGGGTACCCCATGCTTCCCTTATTCATTCAGCAGTGAGGGACATCGGGCTGGTTCTACTTTTTGACCATTACGAATAATGCTAGTATAAACTTTTGTGTACGACTTTCTGTGTACATATATTTATGTAAATGCACATTACCACTTGTCCAGTCCTGTGTTAACTCTCTGTTTAACTTCTTGAGGAGCTTCCAGACTAGTTTCAGATGCAGCAGCACCATCTTGCACTCCAGCCAGTTCTGAACGAGGTCCTGTGTTTGATGACATCCTCAGGGTTCTGTGTATTTTTTAATGAGAGTTTTCCTCATGGATGTGAGATGATGCCCTACTGTGTTTTATTTGCATTTTCTTAATGATTAAAGATGTTAATCGTTTTTTCTTGTGCCTATTTGGCCATTTGTGTGTCTGTTGGAGAAGTGCACATTTGTACCATGTGCCCATTTTTGATTGGGGTGTCTCTCTGTTGCTGAATTTTAGGAGTTACGTATTGTGAATGCAGGTGTCTCCGGGCATGTATTTTCAAATGTCCCCTCCCATTTAGTAGGTTATCTTTTCACTTTCTTTCTTTTTCTTTTCTCATTTGCTTCCTTCTTTCCCTTTTTTCTCCAGAGATGGGCTCATACCCAGGGCTTTCATGCATGCTATGCACACACTTGATCACTCAGCTATTCTCCTTAGCCCTTTTTTCAGTAATTTCCATTAAGACTCAAATATTTTTAATTTTTATGAAGCTAATTTTATCTTTTTGATGCATAGGCTTTTGGAATTGCATTTAAGAATATTGCCTAGACCCAGGCTCGGAGGATGTACTCCTGTACATTGTGAATTAAGTTTTGTGTTTGATGGGAGAAGGGATTAGTATTCATTTTTTCATGGAGATATGTCACCTTCCCAGCAATACTGATTGAAAAGACCATTTTCTCTTTTGGCTTGTCTTGGCACCCTGATTGAAAATTAGCTAATTTTACATGTAGGGGTTTGTCTGGATTCTTAGCGTTATTCCTTAGCCCTGTATATTTGTCCTTCTGGCAGGGCAATCCTGTCTTGATTACTGTAGATTTATGGTAAGTTTCTAAATAAGGAAGTTAGATTTTTCCAAAGTTGTTCTTCATGTTCAAGATTGTTTTGACTGTTTGATATCCCTTAAAATTCTGTTTGTTCTAGCATCAGCCTGTATCCATTTCTATAAAAAATGCAGTTTTAATTGTGATTGAGAATTGGATTGAATCAATTGATTGAATCAGTGTGAGGAGTATTGCCAACCAAAGTCTCCCTGTCCGTGAACACAATGTCTTTACATTTACTTGGGCTTACATCACTATCTTTCAGTAATAATTTATAGTTTTCCATGTATAAGTATTATCTTCATTTGGTTAAATTTATACCTAAAGTGCTGTTCTTATTTTTATGGTGGGTGGAATTTCGTTTTCAGTGTGTTCATTGATGGTGCATAGATATACTGTGTGTATTGATCAGATGTCTTGCAACCTTACTGAAATCATTTGTTAGGTCTAATGTTTTGATAAGGTCTTCGGGAACTTTAGTGTATAAGATTATGTTTTCTAAAAACAGAAATAGCTTTAACTTTTTTTCACTATGGATCTCTCTTTTTTTTTTTTTCTGGCACAATTTTTACTGGGTAGAACCTCCAGGACCATGTTAAATAATAGAGTAGAGAGCAGAAATCCATGTCCTGTTGTTGGTCTTCATTGGGAAGCCGTTGACCTTTAACCATTAGGATGTTGAAGATTGTTTTATGGATGAACATATCTCAGATTGAGGGAGTTCCTTTCTATACCTCAGTTTTTGAGTATTTTTATTGTAAAAGTACACTGAGTTTTGTTTTCTGTGTTGTTTAAAAGAAACATTTTATTAAGGTGGTTGATTACTTTGGTTGATAGCCATATATTGAATTAACCTTGCAATCCTGGGACAGATCTCACTTAGTCATGCTGTAGACTTTTAGTGTCCTGTTTATTCCAGCATAACAGTGTTTTCTTGGGGATTTTTGTATTTCTACTCATAAGGAATATTGGTTTATAATTTACTGGTAGTGTCTTTGTCTCACTTTGGTATGAAAGTAATGCTAGCTTATAGAATTGGCTGGCTAGTGTTCCTTTCTTTTCTTTTTTGGATGAGTTTGAGAATTGTTATTGATTCTCTTTTGTGTCTTGATAGAATTCACCAGTGAAACTCTGCGGACTTGGGCTTTTCTTTGTAGGAAGTTTTTGGTTACCAACTCAGTCTGTTTACTTGTAGGTTTGTTTGGGTGCTCTGTTTCTTCTCAAATCACTTACAGTAGATACGCTATTCTAGGTATTTGTCCATTTCATCTATGGAACTATTTTTAATGGTGCTCAGTTATTATTTCCCTGTAATCTTCTTTCTTCCTATTTAACTAGTTGTGGTTTTTCTTTTCAAACAAATATTTTCAGAAAACCAACTTTTGGTTTCATTGATCTTCTATACTGGTTTATTATTATTTTATTTATTGTCATTTTGTTATTTATTTCTTTGCTTTGAGGTTAGTTTACTTTTGTCTTTTAAACCTTTCCCAATGGAAATTTAGGTTGTTTTGAGATCTGTCTTCTATTTTACTGGGGCATTCACAACCACAGATTTCCCTTTGACCCCTGCTTTTGTGGCATCTCATATGTTTTGATATAATGTATTTTCATCTTAAACTGTTTTTTAATTTCTCATGTGTTTTCTCCTTTGACCTGTTGGTTTCTTTAGAATATGTTCCTCAAATTTCATATATTTGTGAGTTTCTGAAATGTCCTCATTTTTTATTTCCAGTGTCATTCCAAATAAGATATTTTGTACATTTTTAAGTCTTTTAAATTTATTGAGAAGTGTTTTCGGCCCTCACCTCTATTTTGGAGAATATCCCATATACGTTAGAGAATCCTGTGTCTTCTGCAGTTGTTGAGTTAAGTATTCTATAGATGTGTGTTATGTCTGTTTTGTGTGGGGTATGTTACCAGCACTTGACCAGGACAGCAGTACCTTAGTATTCATTTCCTGCTATGAATACCATCAGGGTCAGTCAGAGATGATATCGTAGAGGTATCACAGTTCATTCCTGAGTATGGATGTAGTCCTTTGCATGGTTTTCCAGAAAAACACTGGAGGTTTTCTAGTCACCTATGGGCATCTTTTTCCTCAGCTTTGCCTTTGAGTTCCATGGCTAGCCAGTCTGTTATTTGTTCTATTCTACCCAAAACACCAGGAAGACATAATGTGGGAACATTTGACAGAGACTCCTGGGGAGAAGTCTTTAGCTTGGGACAGACTTCAGGTTGATTGATGACAAGCTTTGTGAGTAATGATACTCCAGAGTACCACCAGCCAGATCAGATCAGGACTCCTCTTTGGGAATAAGGCTTTTAGAGATGCTTGTTCCCTCTGATGCTAGGAATGTTGTTGTGTTTCAGGGCTGCTGCAAAGCTAAGGAGAAAGGGATGAAATGAAAGTAAGTTAAAATACCCCAGCATTCAGCTCTGTCCTTCATTAAATGCTGCCAACCTACATGCAGTTAGATCTAGAGTGCTAAGACAATTGATTCTGATGCTTTCTGCTAGCTTCCTGTTGTTTCTTTTATGGAGAATGTACTTTGGTGATCACTGCTTTTATGGAGTTTGGTGTCAGCACCATCAGTTTTTAATGCAAGGTGGAGGATGACATTCTGGGGTGCCTGTGACATGAGAGCGACTCATTCCTTTTGTTTGTTAAAAGCAACCATAGTTACCTCAGCTGGTGTTTGCTTTAAAAATAATAATAATTCAGTGACTTGACATTTCCCTAAGGAAATGCACAGCTAAATATTTTTTTCATTTTCCATTTTGGTTAGTACATATAAAACTACGTAAATTCTGGGGTTGGGAAGAAAGAATTGATGAAAACTCTGGGAAGAAAGAATTGAAAGTTCTTTGAGGCGTCTTTAATAGAGGCCAACACATGAATAATGTTACAAAGAGTCTTTCCAGCACTGAAAATTAAAACAACACCGCTCTTCTGTTGGTCACCTTTGCAGGGCACCTTTGATGATTACTTGGAGCTCTTCCTGCAGTTTGGTTACGTGAGCCTCTTCTCCTGCGTTTACCCCTTAGCAGCTGCCTTTGCTGTGCTAAACAACTTCACAGAAGTCAGTTCAGATGCCTTAAAAATGTGCAGAGTCTTCAAACGTCCATTCTCAGAGCCTTCTGCCAGCATTGGTGTGTGGCAGGTAATTATTTAGCAAAATGTCTTTAAAAAATATCAGCCACTGTAATAAAAAACTAAAGCAATCTTTTAAAAGAGGAATTTAAAAATCTCAGATTTAATCCTTGTTTAGCTTCAAAATAGTTGTGTTACCTTAAGTCATTTAATTTTCTCTGGCCTTGCTTTTCCTTTCTATATATTTTTGCTTTTGCTTTAACAGTGGGTGGTGGGAAAGGTAAAGTCTCATTGTCAAGGAATGTTTCAGAGTTGGAACTCTTGCAGTTTTCTGGGAGAGTAGCCAGCTGAGTCATGCAGCCTTTCCTGCGACAGTGTTTGTGGAGACTGCGTGGGAGCCTGGACTCCTCCTCTTACCTGCCAGCAACTGGCCTCTCTCCTTCATCCCTGCTGGGCAGGCTGGGAGGAGCTGACTGGAGTACCCCAGCACCCTGTACAGCGGAGCTTTGGGTGTACATACATTTCCTCTGCAAAGGGGGAAACAGTGGCCGTTTAGTGAGAACCACAATGCCCACCTGTGTCACAGTCGAAAGGACCTCCCAACGGGTGCAAGTGGTACATAAGTGGAGAGCCTGGACTTTTAGCCCCATGTGTTGTCACAGTGCTTTACCCATCTTCCCTTGCTGGAATGGTGTTAGAGGAACCTGCTAAAACACATTTACAGATGAGTAGGGTCTTACAACATGAAAAATATCCAGCTTTCTTTAAAAAAAAAAATCACTCATTATATAAAGAGCCAGGAAAGTTCTGCACTGAATGAGAAAAGACGTTCAACAGATGTTACCACTGAGATTAATACTACAAATATAGGATGATGGAAGGCAGAGACATGATGAAAGTGCTTCCTCCAGTAATTATGAGCACACCTAAAATGAAAGAGAAAATAGAATTTGACCATCTCAGCAAAGACACAAAGGAGAGTCAAATTGAAGTGTTAGAAGTGGCAAATCCAATAACTACCATGCAGGGGCAGTGGATGGAGCAGCAGCAGAATGGAAAGGATAGAGGAACAGATTGGGAACTGGAAGACGGAGCAAAAATAATTACCTGATCTGAGCAACAGAGAGAAGACAGATTGTCATAATAAACATAGCCTCAGCAAACTATGACTGTAACACAGGATGAGCATTGTTCTCTTTGGAGTTATCAAAGCATATGAGAGAGGAGGGGCCAAAAATATCTGGAGAAATAATGGCCACAAACTTTTCAAATTTGGCAGGAAACCTAAAAAACTATAGGCTCAAGAAACTTTGCAAACCCCAAACTAGATAAACCCTGAGAAATCCATGCCAACACATCATAATTAAACATCTGAAAACTAATGGCATCTTGAAACATCAAAGAGAAAGGACACTTTAACTGAAGGGGAAAAACTAGCAGATGGCCAGTTTCTCATCAGGAGCTGTGGAGGCCAGAAGAAAGTGATAAAACAGTGCAGCCCCTTGCAGAAAAGCATGGTCCACACAAGGATCCTGTACCCAGCGGAGACACCAGCACGCTGTCATACAAGGGAAAACTGAGGGACTGTGTGGCCAGCAGACCTGTCCTGCAGGAAGTGCCGAAGGGAATTCTGTTAACCAAGGAAACAATGAGTGATAGAATCTGGGAACAAGTGGAAGAAAAATGTGGCAACCAAAAATGTGAGGAGACACGGAAGTCTCCCTGCCCTTTAGGATTTTGGTTATGCTTAATGTTTGATGCAAAAATTGTTTAACACCAATAATTCTAAATCTGTAGAGAGGAAATACTAAGACAAGAGTGTTATAAATAGAGTGTGATTGTGTACATATCTATAATGTAATGCCTAGAACAAAATTATATAACAGATGCACTCAGAAGTGTTATAGATGAAACAAAATGGAATTCTGAAATAGTGCAAGTAAACAAGGCAAGAAAAAGAAACAAATGAAAAACAAGAAGCAAGAAGAAAGCAAACAAATGTCCAATGTAGCATTCTAACATTATCAGTAATTATATTAGCTGTAAATGGTCTAAAGTTGTCAACAACTTTAGACAGAAAGTTTAAGTTCTGTTTAAAGACAGAAATTGGGAGGGTAGACTCACACCCGTGACTCAGGTGTGTACTATCAGTAAGAAACTCATTCAAGCCATGATACAGGCAGGTAGGAGAAGAAAAAGGAAGAGAGGGCTGTGTCTTGAACTACTGCTGTTAAAAACAGTGGGGAGTCAGTCAATATGTGACAAGGTAGACTTCTGAGAAAAAAGCCCAGGGTGGGACATTCTGTGACGATAAAAGGACGAATGTTCAGGGACACACAGCAGTTCTAATGTGTGTGCACTGTACAACAGAGTTTCTCAGCACAGAAGCCAAAGCTTGAACTGACAGGAGAAACAGATGAGTTGGCAGGGTAGTCTTAAGAGTTGACACTCCTTCAACAGTGTGATGGAAAATCAGCAGAGTACAGAAGAAGCAATACCATTAAATGAATGTCTCTGACATTCTGGAACATTCCATCAACAGCAGTAGAGTAACTTTTGTTCAAGTGCATACAGAACACTCAGTAAGTTGGATTAGCTCCTGGGACATAAAACAGACTTAAAAAGTTTAAAGAATTGCAACCATATGTAGTATTTTCTGTGACCATGGTGGAATCCAACTGGAAATCAGTAACAAAAATAACAGCAAGATCTCAACACTTGAAAACTAAACACCACCAACATATCCCATAGTGCAGAGAGACAGGCTGATGTGAAGTAACAAGATACATAGAGCTGGGTGAAAATGAAAATAGAGCAGGGCAGCATCCGAGAGACACAGCTGCAGCGGGCAGACAGCAAACTTGCAGCTGTAAATGCACACGCTGGAAAGGAAGGGAAAGAAACTGGGAGCAAAATCAGGAGAAAGAGGAAGCTATGAAGAAAAGAGTAAAATCAGTGAGTGGAAAATCGTAGCGAGGGTCAGTGACACAGGTGTCCTCCTGAGAGGTGAGCACCATTGACAGACCTCGATCAAGACCAAGAGAGAGCAGAGGCGAGGACACAGCCGAGGACGTCGCTGCGGAGCCTGCGCCCACTCAGGGAGTGAGGAGGGAACACGAGACAGTGTCACAAGGTGCACTCCACAACCTGAATGCAACAGACCGATGCTTCCAAATGACCCACATTACTGTGGCTTCTCTGACATGGGACGGGTTGTTAGAGCAGCCCCATAATTATGAAGGAGATGCAGTTTACAATTGCAAATTTCCAAAAAAGGAAAGTCTTGGCTCAGATCACTTCATTGTTGAATTCAACCATTTTAAGGAGAATTAATGCCAAAGTTACACAATTCCAGAAAATGGGAGAGGGGAAGAATATTTCCCAGTTCATTTTATGATAAAGTTAGTATCAATGTGGAAGCAAGACAAGCAGTTAAAAAACAGATTATGTTCCTCATGAATATGTGCACAAAAAATCTTTTAAAATTATTAGTAAACAGAATTCAGCAATATGTTAAAAGAATGGTGTGTGATAGCAAGTGAGATTTATTCCAGGGACAAAAGCCTACTTCAGAATTTGAAATTTAATTAATACAGTTATTTAGATGATATCTAAAGAAGAAAATCTCATTGTATCAATATCTGCAGATAAAGCATTTGGCAAAATCCAGCAGTCATTTATTTTTTAACTTCAGAAAAAATAGAAATACTTCTGCCTGATAAAGAATATCTATTTAAAACCACAACGTTAATGTTATTTGTGAAGGAATGAATGGTTCTCTTTTAATATTGGGAACAGTGTGGGCATGCCCAGTCTTTCTACTTTTATTTAGTGCAAGTCCTGAAAGTTTAGTGTAATTAAGAAAGAAAAAGAAATAAAATATGTATCATTGAAAAGGAAGAAATAAGGCTGTCTCAGAAAGCTGGCGTGGTTACACAGAAAGCCTCAGAGCATCTACAAACACGGGGTGAATGGGGGATTCAGTAAGGTTTTGGGATACCATTTTAGGTCATATGGACCTAAAAATCTGGAAGGTCAACTGAAAATTACTATAAGTAATAAGAAGGTAGAGTTATAAAATTAAGATCCAGAGATAAGGAACATTTTATATCAGGGGAAGGGGGAGGGAAGAGGAGGGAAGAAGGCTGGAAGGAGGAGAGAGGAAGGAGAGAGCCTTCCAGATTCAGTGATCCGCCCCAAAGTCTCCCTCGTGGTCCTGGGAAAGTGTATTTATTGGCCTTGTTGACCTTGACATCTGTATTTTCCCAGGGTCCTGCTGGCGACTTGGAAGCCGCTCGGAAGGGATCCTTGTTTATAACTGGAGCTGGGTGTAGCTGCGCTGCTGGTGCCTGTGCTCTGTCATTATAGGCCAGTTTAGCAGAGCACATTCTCTGTAGCCATAGTGCTTGTGAACATGGAACATGCTCCCCGTGGTCCATCCTTAGGTACTAGTGCAGCCACAGAACCTTAGCAGAGTCCTGGACAGGTTCCGAAACAGGCCACCATGGTCGGGAAGGTGGGACACACTGCTTTGGGATATTCATAGACACCTTCAAACAGCATGGCGCTTTTTTTTTTTTTTTTAATTGGTACCGGGGATCGAACTCATGACTGCCTGCTTGCGAGGCAGGCGCTTATGCCACTGAGCTAAATCCCCAGCCCCCAGCATGGTGCTTTTTAAGCTAAAGAAAATCATAACACAACAGCAGTTTCAAAGGTCCTCAGGATGTGTAGAATCTAGGCAAAGGCTTCTTCCTTGGTTTTCAGGGGTTAGGAGAAGGAAGGAATACAGAAGTGGACGTTGCAGTGCTAATTTCATGTTCTCCTTTCTCTCAGTTGGCCTTTGAAACAATGAGCGTCATATCTGTGGTCACGAACTGTGCTCTGATCGGAATGTCGCCACAAGTGAATGCAGTCTTTCCAGAGTCAAAAACAGAGCTTGTTTTGATTGTGGTTGCAGTGGAGGTAAGTGGACACTCGGCTGTTGCAGGAAGCACCCACAGTAGACACCTGCTGTCTCCACGCAGTGCTGGCGGCACAGTAATGTATGTTTACTGTAATACAGCAGAGCAGTCCAGCCCTGGGGTGCACACCAGGTGTACAGTCACCTGAGCGGGTCCTGCTGCAGGCAGAGGTGACTTCCAGCTGCTCTGCTGTGCCTGGGACCAGTGGGTAAATTCTGCTCAGAATAGGGTTTGGGGAACTTGATGTGTGTTTGTAGTGTGTTCCAGGGAAATGCCACTCCTGCTTTCCACAGCAAACCCTAAGAAGTGCTTGTTGACGACTGTGCTGTGGGGTGAAAGGTGTGGTGAGACTTTTTAAGGATCTCCAGTGGGACTTGTGGAAGCATTTCGCATGTGAGGTCTGTAAGGGCTCTTGTGTACTCTTTAGATTTTTCTTCTAGCAGTCAGGTCTCAGAATGCGGATGCCTGCAGCAGAGTGACACTGAACACTGACCAAATGTAAACAGAAGGATTTGTAGTAAGCTGTTTTTGTTGCTAGTGATTATCATTGTTAAAAGAATATTGTGATCTTTCATTTTTAGATATTTTCAAAATAGAAGAGTTGTTTTTACTTTATGAAAAAATAAAGTTTCATAACAATAAGAGAATAACAATATTTAATGCAATGTGTATCCTTATCTTTAGAGTAGTTATCAGAATACAAGATGTAGGGGCTGGGGATTTAGCTCAGTGGCATATAAGCACCTGCCTTGGTCGTGAGTTCCATCCTCGGTACCGATGAAAAATATTAAAAAAAGCATTCAGAATACAAGATGTAGACCACAAAGATGGTTACAAGGAGGAAGAAGCAAAGAGATCATAGCACAGGGTCACAGAGTGGTGTTTCATGTACCCAAGGCCTCAGAACTTGGGACCGACCAGACGGAATGAGGTCACGGACTGTGTGTTTCCTGCTGGCTAAGGAAGCATGTTCTACTCTGCCCTGTGGGCTCGTCTCTCCTGTCTGGTAGGACTCTGCTTGTGATAGGCACTGTGTGGAGAGTGTGCATTTGGAGAAGGATTTCAGACAGAAGTGAGGAGCCAGAGCAGAATGGCCCAGTCGAGTGGAGTGGGTCTGTTTGACTCGTGTGGGTTGGGAGGATGGCGAAGCACTGTGCAAGGCCGGTTTGTGGCCCGAGGAGTGTGAGAGCGGAGCAGGTGGTAGGGAGCAGGAGAGATCACTGTGAGTCACTTCCAGCCTTCAGGGAGGCTGCATCGTCACCTTGCGGGTCTAAAGATTCACTTTGCTAATGCATCCGAGTGAGTAGGCCCAGGGCCTGATTTGGCCCTAAAACTGTGAAGACGCATCTGGGGCCCAGCAGAATTCACAGCAAGGGGCTGCCTCTCCAGGGACCACTGCTGTTGACCCTGAAGTCCAGGCCATTTCTTGGTAAATGCTGAACAAGACCGGGTCTGACTTTCCAAAGTCAGATGGTTCTGAGGGTGCAGAAAGAAGATGAAACTCTTCCTAGCCCAAGAAAGGGTGCTCTGCCTAGTGCCGGGGTCCATCACAGCCTTGGGCAGCTGGGCACTGTCCGCCCAGGCCTGTTTCTGTGTGTCCGGGTGAGGCTGCTGTTTTTCCTCACGTCTGGTGATGCCTCAGCCACACGTCTGGCCTGGCTCTGTCTTTGTGTGGAGATTTGCCTTTGGGTGGACCTGTGAGACAGTGGCCAGCCTTGGCTGTTTCCTGGATTTTCTCATGTTGGAGACCAGCCCTAGCTTTGAGTTATAAAATGAGCATCTTATGTGATAGCATAAAAACAGCCTCAGAGAATGCATCAGAAATAACCAAAAAGGGGCTGGGGATTTAGCTCAGCGGCATAAGTGCCTGCCTTGCACGCAGGCAGTTGTGAGTTCGGTCCCTGGTACCGATAAAAAAAAAAAGAAATAACAAAAAACAAATTAACAAGTTAACTAATTTTATTCTAGTGTTGCTGAGACCTCAGCTGAATGCCATCTGGTCTTGTAATGAATCCAAAAATAGAACATTTAAAGATAAACTAGAAAATAAACTTTAGGTTTGTTACCACCTAAGTAAGATTGAGTTGGAATTCCCCCCTTTTTTAAAATTTTTAAGGTAGGGTCTCACTGTGTAGTTCAGGCTGTCCATGAACTCACTGTGTAGCTCAGCTGGTGTCAAACTCGTGGTGATTCTCTTATCTCAGCCTCATGAGTGCTGAGATTACAGGTGTGCACCACCATGCCTGGCCTCATGCTGGAACTGTGATGCACTATTTCAAGGTGACTGAGGTGCTGGATGTATTAATTAGCTTAATTGTGATAATCATGTCACAGTGCCTAATTGTATCAGACCATCACCTGCAACCTTTATGCATATACAATCTTTATTTGTAAATTATACCTCAATATGATAGAAAAGGAGACTGTTACAGAAATTTCTTCAAAACTATCAGTGCATCAAATTAACTTGTTTGCAAGATTTTTCTTAGACCTAAAAATATTTTTTCAAGAAGTAAAGTCTTAAAATAATTTTAATATAAAATTATTACTTTATTTATTTCTGATTTTTCATGGAATATGTATTCTGCTGGTGCTTCATTAGATTTCTAAAATGCTTTGCTATCAGTAATAGCATAATTATGCTAAAATGCTGCACGTGAGTGTGTCTGCTCATGGCCCCTGACATGTCACTGATTAAACCATAATATGTAAGCTTTAATTATGTGTACATCATTATATAAATTTTAACAATTTGATGGAGAAATGTCCACTTTAGGGTGTTAATTTTTTTCTTCAAATTAATATCTGAAATCATGTTTTCATATTTGTTAAAGCAACAGACGTCTCAGAGAGTTGACGTTGAATATTAGTTTTCTCATGATTGGAAATGGGATGATTTGATAGTTTTGTTAGCTTTTCGGCTCATGTTTCCAAAGTCAGATAACTTGAGTTGCCTGGTTAGGGTTTTGATTCTTCAATATCTAAGGTCTCAAGTGAATGCAGCATGAAATGCAGTGCAGGCTAAAATACTCCCTGCAGCAGAGAGAATGCGGCGTGTGTCGCAGCAGCTCTTGCATGTTTGCTGCCACCTAGCGCTGCCCGTGAGTGCTGCCTGTCTGTGCGCAGTGGGTTTGGCCTAGCGGAGGAGGAGTAGCCCTGTGGGCCTGGGTGGGAGCCTGACTGTGCCGTGCCGTGCCGGTGGGGGCATTCTAAGTAGTGCAACGCTGGCAGTGTGGAAAAGTGCAGCCCCCAAGATCAAATCACTGTGCAAGTCATTTCCCTTACGCGACACTTCTGAGGGACTTATTTCACTGCTTTGATGTAATTTCAAGCAAACCATTACTATGCTAAGTACAGAATTATACAAAAAAGGCCAATTCTTAAAGACCAGAAATGACTTCAAACCCTACAAATATCAAACGTTAGATCTGGTTCTGCGTTGCTTCATGAGTGGCTTTTCAGAAGAGACACCTCGGGGGCCATGGTCTCTCCTCCCCCTCCCTGGTTCCTGTTGTCCTGGGCCTCCCATCTCCTTCCTGTGGTCACTTGGATGTCTGCTGTCCTACACCCTGAGTGTCCTTCCTGAGAGCCAGGCAGGGTGGCTCCCAGCAGGTCCTGGGAGCTGAGAAGGGTCCCAGGAGTCCCTGTCCCTGTTTTCAAGTGAGTGAGCAGCTCCTTCCCAAGTGTTTGTTAACGAGTGAGCACTTGGTTGGTTGGTTGTTGGTTTCCAGTGTGCATGTATTATAATTAGTGGCAACCACTGAAGAATTAATGTAAAGTGTGCCGCTGAGCACTGACGTGGCACCTTTGAAAGTGCGTTAAGAAGAGCCTTGAGGGAAGTGCCAAGTCTGTAGGAGCACTCAGGTTGGACGACAGTCAGAGGTGAGATTTGGTGGTCGTTCTCATGGGCTCTGGCTTCCAGGCTTGACCACAGCTTGACCAACTCTGTGTCTCTGAATACTTGAGGGCCTATTTCCTACTCTCGTGTAGAGGATTCCATTAATAAGCACATGTATTATGTTGGCTTCGGGACCCAGAAGGATTATTTAGCATTTGCAGCTTTTCTCGTCAGTGTTCCCCCTCACCCCCAAGAAAGATTCTGTCCTCACAGAGGTCTCTGGGTCTAGCAGAAAGGCTTGGTTAGACTCTGAGGATCCAGCTGACACTTAACCTGGGAGGGAGCCTGCAGGCGGGTCATTAATCTGGCAGCTGCATCCCAGGATGGAGCACATGCCAGGTTTGTGAGGCTTTGATCATGTTTGAGGGTGCACTTGAGTTGCATCCTGGAACTGTATGTTTGTTCCTACCTTAGTTCCCTTATTCCTGTTAGTAATTTTGGTTGTTTCCTGTCTTTCTGTGGGCAGACCCCATCCTCAGATCCCATCCAGATGAAACTCTGCTGTGTTGTCCCGGGTGTGGGAGTGATCAAAGGCAGCCATGTGACTCTCCTGTCACGCACGCGAGGCCTGCTTGGGCATGTTCACAGGTGGAGCTGTCCAGAGCGAAGTCCCAGCGCAAGGGACCCCAGATGCACAGCTCTGTGTCCCCTCTGGAGGGCCCAGTGGTGGGGTCAGAGTGGGAACTGAGGGGAGACAGCCTCTCCAGGAGCTCACCACTTACAAGAAGCGTTTTGTCCCCAAATTTGCTTACTGTGGCCTTCTTGTTACCACAGTTGGCATAATTTAATTAAGTGGGGTGAAAACTGGTAAAATACACATGCTGAAATAGAAAGCTTCACTTCTGTGAGAATCTTTGGAAAGACCCTGTGAGGACAAACTGTGGTCAGAACGAGTGAGGTGAGCTGGTCCCAGGAGTGGGGAGAAGCATGGGCCTATCGGCCACTTCCAGCCTCTGCTTTCATAGGACTTCCGAAGGGCTTTAAAGTTTTCACTCTTCTTTAAAGAAAGGAAACCTGGGCATCTAGACATTTTCCCCTTCAGGTTACTGATTTATGAGGCCAGCGAGACCCCCACTCCCCACACTCCAACGTGAGAAAAGTAT